TGAATCACCAAGTTAGATATCTCAAATTGGATGTCCTGTAGGCACCCAAAACTCAACATACCCAAAACAGAACTCATTATCTTTCCCCTCTTCCTAACTTTGCTCTTTCTTTCATGGGAACCACCATTTTTCCAGTCACCCATGCACACAACTTCAGTGTCATCATTGACTTCTCACTGCCAGTCATTTCAGCATGTCTAATCTGTGGTCAAATCTTGTCCTTTTTACTTTCACTCCATCTCTCATGTAATTTCCTTTTTTCCATTCACATAGCCATGACCCTATTACAAGCTCTTATCCCTCTTCTCCTGGACCACTTTGATAGTCTTCTAACTGGTCTTCCTGTCTCAGGTCTCTCTTTACTCCAAACCATCCTCCACTCACTGATTTTTCTAAAGTGTAGCACTCCCCTCCCCTTCCCTAACTCAATAAATTCCAGTGACTCACTACTATAACCAGGCTCAAATGTAAAATCCTCTGCCTTTTAATGCCTTTTACAATCTAGCCCCTTCCTCCCTTTCCAGTCTTCTTACACTTTACTTCCCTCCATGAACTCTATAAGGAGAGAGAGTATTCCAGGCATTGAAGATAAATGGTGAAAATGCATGAAGTCAGGGATGGAGTGCAATGTTCGAGGAATAGCAAATAGGAAAGCATAGCTAGATGATAGAGTTTGTGGAGGACAGTAAAGTGAAGACATGGGCCTCAAATTTACTCTGGCTACCCCCATAGCTACAGAGGAAAATACTCTCCTTCTTCATCATCCACTCCTACCTTCCCTGGCTTCCTTTCAAAACTCAACTCAAATCCCACCTTCTACAGACCTTTTTCTGCCTCTCCTCCCCACTCACCCGTTTCTTCTTTCTGAGATTACATTTCATTTACATTATACATGTGCATACACACACACACACACATATATGTAAAAGACAAGCACATGAGATTTTCATATTGTCTCCTATATTAAAATGTGTGCTGCTTCAGGGCTTTAGAGGTATGGCACAATCACATTATAAATGTTTTTTTAAAAAGTGTTATTAATGCCTTTTGGTTTTGTTAGCCATTTCCTGACATATATCTTCTTCCCTCCCACCCCCATTGAGCCCACCCCTTAAAACAACTGGAAACAATTAAGCAAAACCCTACAGACCTAGCTTTTTGGAAAGTCTTTTTGGAAAGGATGATATTGGCAATTAAGCAGTTAGATGAGCTCATTCTGCTGCTTTAATTCATATTTAGAAACTGGCTGCTTATTCATCTTCATGATCTAGCAGAAAAGCTGTGTACAAGGTTTTCAGGGGCAACAATACAGACTGGGTGGCTTATTAGTTAGAAAGGGGGCCTTGGAGTCAGGAATATGTGGGTCCAAGTCCCACACTGGATACATACCAACTATATGACCTTGGACAATCTAACACTATACTATTGAGCAGGTATATGAGTAGAGGGAGTTTCTTTATCTGGGGCTCCTTATGCTAATGAAATCACAGATCCACTTCTCTCCCTGCTCTCACCTCAACCTGCCCCCCCCAAAAAGGAGGGAAAACTACAGGACTATGAATTCTAATTCTTCCTCTGCTATTGCTTTATTCTGTTCCCTTGGAAAGTTCTGATCACTTAGGATAAAAGGGTGGTAGGGAATCAATGCTGGATCAGAGGGTCTAGGCTCAAATCCAGGCTGCTTCAGTTACTAACCTGCATGACTGTGTTTACATCACTGTCCTTCTCTGGGTCTCAGTTTCTTCACTGGTTGAGAGAACTAGGAAGGAATATCTCTTTAAAAGGCAGGAGAATTCAGCTGTGGACATAATTTAAGGTGACTGTGGGGCATCCTATTTTCTTTTTTTTAAGGGCTTGTATGTATATGTGGTATTTGTGCCGATAGTAAGTTAGTTTTTAATATATTTTAAAAAGCTGACAAAGTCTAGACCCAAGTGTCCCATTTCTTTGGACTAGTCAGGTCATTTTGCTCCTCTTTATGTGTTCTTTATCCCAGTTAAACTAGCCTGCTAGCCATTCTCTCCACAAAACATTCTACCTCATGCCTCTGTGATACGAATAGGTGGTTCCCCCATGTCTGGAATGAATTCCTTCCTCTTCATCACCTCTTAAAACCCCAAGTTTCCTTCAAAGCACACCTCTGGTTCCACTTCCTGCAAGGTGATTATCCTAGTTGTTAGCCTTGCTCCCTCTTGAAATTACTTTGTATATACTTTGAATTTAATTATCTGTGTACATGTTTTATCCTCCCAGTGGAATGTAAGCTCCTTGAGGTCAGGGGCTGTTTTTTTTTCTTGTCTTTTTTGACTTTATATCCCCAGCACCTAGCACAGTATTTTGCAGACAGTAGGAGGTTAATAAATGTTTGTGGAATTGGAATGAGTTGAAACTATTGGAAAATGCAAAGCACAAAAGATGTCTACCAAAGCCCACTCTCCCATACCAACTGATGAGGCCCACTTCCCTCAGGGATCTATACAGTTCTACAGTCTTAGAGGACAGCCTTCGGGGTGAAGCCCCTCTGAAAGGGGAAAGAACTGAGGATTAATAAAGAGTTGAATTCCTCATTCATAAAACTAAGGGAGGGCAAGGTCTGGTTTTCTCCTTCACATTGCGCCTTTGTCCCTTGCTGCTCATTGGCTCTGGCTCTTCCTGCTTGGTTCAGGAGCACTTCTATTTGGTCCTGGAACTGAGCATTGTCCAGGACTTCTTCCTCTTGATCAAGGCATTCTTACCACTCTGCTGTCATTTCTGGCTACTGCCATTTCTAGGCCCATCTGGTTCCCTCCTTGGGATACTGGGGGCCACAGAACTTTCCCTCCAGAGACCTGTGTACTCATCAGATGTATGTTAGCCACAACTTAGTCAATAATTCCCTAAATGACAAAAAAGTCATTCTTAATGTGGAAGTTGGGCCAAGGATACCTCTTTCAAATCTCACAGATATCATAAAAGTCCTAGCATCAGTGGAGATGTATAACATCATGTATAAGGGAACACTTTCAACAAAGACTTTATGCTTCAGCCCTGTCAGTTTTGGTCAGCCTACTCCTGGTGATTCCATCTGTATGGAAAAACCAAAAACTTTTTATCAACTCATCTGTGCTCTTCTCCAATCTCAGAAGATTAGATAGCCCTCTTTCTTGCCAGTGCTAATCTTCCACTAAGGTCCTTGATTCCATCCCCCAGGATATTGCTTCTCTGATAATCATTCCCTCCTCTCTTCCCCATCCAATGGGGAAGATCCCTCATGCTAAAACGAAACAACCAACAAACAAAAAATTATTACTTTGACTCTCCTGCCCTTCTAGTTTATAATCCTCCCCCTCTTCACTGATAAATGTCTAGAAATAGTAGTCAGTAATCACTGCCTGCTATTACATCAGCATATCTTTCCAGAAACGAGTTCCCCAGTCTCTTCCATATGCAGCAGGAAAGCATGTTATGCATGCTCTGAGGATGGGGTCCCCTTGTAGATATCCCCCTGCCCCAATTATAGCAACATACAGAATAAATACAAGTCAATTTGGGAGGGAAGAAACAACAATTATGGGGATCAGGAAAGGCTTTCTGTAGAAGACTGTGCTTTAAGCTGCATCTTGAAGAGACAGATTCTATGAAGCAAAAGTGAGGAAGGAGCACATCCTGGACAGGAGAGAATGGCCAGTGTAAAGGTAGAGAACTAGGAATCAGCTCTGTGTGAGGAGTATAAAGAGAGTCAGACTGAATGGACCATAGAATTTGGGAAAGGGAATAATGTACAAGGAGGCTGTTCTAGCAACCCCAATTCTCTGATGGATAGCTTCATCAAAATGGCCTCAAGGCATTTCAAACTATGTTAAAAAAAAACACCTCATTATATCTACCCCTTCCCCCACCTCCATCCCCCCACCACTCCAATGAACTTCTTCATCTCTATCAATATCTCCATCCAGTAATGCATTTTGACAGCCTCAGAGTCATCCTTGACTTTTCACTCTTTCTCACCCTCAACTATCTAATGAGTTGACTGATGTCTGTAAGTTTTACTACAACACCTATACTATCCATCTCCTCTTGGCACTCACACAGCCAAGGTCATCAGGCTCACCTCCCCTCTCACCTAGATTATTGCAATAAGCTCCCATTTGGACTACCTGCCTCTAGTCTCTTCCATTTCCAATCTGTCTTCCATCCAGCTGACAGATCAATTTTCCACAGGTCTTACAGTGTTATTCCCCTGCTCACAAATTTTCAATGGCTTTCTGATGTTTCTAGGGTAAGATATTAACTCCTCTGTTATTTAAAGCCTTTCACAGTGATTGTTATAGCTACATCCTATGTTTCCAGACTGCTTTCACATTACTACTCTCTCCCATCCAAATATTCTAGGCAAATAGGCCATACGGTTCCCCAGGCATTTCATCATGCCTGGAACGTTCATCTTCTTCACTCCTGGCTCTTTTCAAGGCTCAGCTTAATTTTCACTTGCTGCACAAAGCCTTCTCTGAACTCTTCAATCATTATTGCTCTGTACTCCACCCCCAAATTATTTTGTATTTACCTTGCATCTATTTTGTATTTACTTATCTGTGCACATGTATCCCCAGTGGATTGTAAGCTCCTTCAGGGCAGACACGTTTCTTATTTTTGTATTTGTATACCTAGTCAGTCCATAGTACAGTGCTTGGCACATGGTATTTAATAACTCTTGTTGACTTGAGTCTATGAAAATTAACAAGGTAAAACTGAGCAGGAAGAATTGGAAAAGGGAAAGACCAGAAGCAAAGGAACCATATTAGGTTACTGTAAAAGCCTAAGCATGAAGTAATGAAGGCCAGAATTAGGGTAGTGGCAATTTAAGAAAAAGGCAAGAGAACATTTTATACACTAACAACAGTATTGTTTTAAGAACAACTTTGAGTGGGGGCAGCTAGATGGCGCAGTGGATAGAGCACCAGCCCTGAAGTCAGGAGGACCTGAGTTCAAATCTGGCCTCAGACCAAACACTTGACACTTACTAGCTGTGTGACCCTGGGCAAGTCACTTAACCCCAATTGCCTGAAAAAAAAAGAAAAAGAACAACTTTGAGTGACTAAGTAATTCTGACTATTATAAATATACAAATTAGAAATAAAGGACATATGAAGATATTATCTGCATCCAGAGAAAGATCTGACAAATAGATGTACAGAATAATTTTACATGTAGATATGTATACATATATATGTACATATATGTATATATAAACCTATTTGTGTGTAGCCATCTCTAGGGCAGGGGGGGTTAGAAGAAAAAAATAAATTTACATGATAACTTTATTATATATTAGAAAGGAATAGCATGTTGTACATAATAGTTTGCAGTGTTATGTGCAATCATCTTTTTATTATACAATGTTATAGAATTGGTTTTTTATTCTATAAATTAAAAATAAAACATTTTTTTAAAAAGAGGCCTAAGAGCAAATAAAATCACTAAGGAAGGGAGGAGGAGAAGGAAGAAAAAGGTTACAAGGAAAGAAATTTGCAGAATACCCACCTTAATGGTCATAGAGCTGGAAAAGGCCTTAAATGCCAGCTAATCCAATCCCCTTATTGCATAGACGAGGAACAGAGACCTGGTAGGGTTAAATATTTCTCCAAAGTCACATAGAAAATAAGCTGCAGGGCTAAGATTAGAACCCAGTTCCTCTGACCCCTAAATGTAGCATCCTCCACTATTCTTTGCTGACTTTGGGATGATGAGATATTTTACCCCTACTGTGAAATAAATGCTAAAAAATTAAGCATGGAAAAATTTTAGATGCCACCCACTTCCTTTAGCCATTAGGTAGAATGATAATCTTAGTCCCTTAGGAATGTCTCTAGGGCTAGACAAAATTATAAAATGATGAGGTAGTCCCATCCTGGCATATCCTCATTCCTTTCCTCTTTCTTATTTTAAAGATACTTTAATGTTTTTTTTTTAACTTCATACATTATTTTTTATATCTTAACTTTGGCAAAGCTATCCCAATATATGAAAATATTTAAATTTAATCCCTCCCAAACTGTTCACATTACAAAAGAATGATGTTTTACAGAAAGATTCACAGTAATATTCCTGACCAGTCTTTTGTCATACTTAAAATGATTCAGTATATACAAGACTTTTCAGGAATACATTAATTACCTACTCATGTGGTCTCACAAATTATTTCAGCATCCATCAGCCTCAGTTTATTCCTCAATCTTAGTCCTCTTCCTTAGCCTTTCTATTCTGTTATTTTTACTTTATCCTTTCCTACTTCTCCCTACCACTTGCCTCTCCCAATTTTCTGTGGAGCTTTACCTTTCTTTTCTCTTTATTTCTCCTGATAGTGCCTCCCTCATTTTCCTTTTTCTCACTGCTGCTCCAAGTTCTTCAAGATTTTTGGATACCATTTTAGATAGAGTGGAGTCTCATTAATTAAGTTTTGGGAGAAGATTAAATTAGTGAAAGGTCTTGAATAATAATAAAGGAATAGGGATGTAAAAGAGTAAGAGATTCATATACAGGAGAAATGAAAACAGAAAAAGCCTAGATTTCTCAATTGAATTAATCAGTTGTATAAACAATGTACAAAACAAGACCTTAATTAGGGGAATATAAAGTCTTCTTCTCTCTTATCATTGTGCGCGTGTGCACATGCACAAGCACTCGCGCACACACAGAGGAAACATTTTGTGATTGGCTGGAAAAATCAGACTATGTTTTCTAAAAGCTAATTAGGTCTAGCTAGTTGATTGACAATCTATGGGAGACATACTGGATGGATAAAACCCTCATTCCTTTATGGATACACTCCAGAAACTCTGAAGAAGTATACAGCTTCCCACTAAGGAATCAACTTACCAGCATAAATATAAGTTGGAAGAGGGAGTCCAGAGGAGGTTTTACACTTATAAGTGTTTTTACAAAAAGCTGCCAAGGGGCAGCTAGGTGGCACAGTAGATAAGAGTACTGGGGTTGAAGTCAAGAAGACTATCTTCTTGAGTTCAAATCTGGCCTCAGACACTTACTAGCTGTGTGAACCTGGACAAGTCACTTAACCTTATTTGCCTCAGTTTCCTCATCTGTAAAATGAGCTGGAGAAGGAAATGACAAACCACTCCAGTACCTTTGCCAAGAAAATCCCAAATGGGGTCATGCAGAGTCTGACACAAATGAACAGATCAGTCATTTAAGAGTGGTCAATTCTTTAAAAAAAAAAAAGTACATGCTCAGAGCACCTGGGATAAAGTTTCTCCATTGGAGAGACTACAGACCCTGTTTCCAGAATAGCTGTGATAGCATGTGAGGTAAGTATTTTGGAAAGATCTTAGAACTTGCACAGATGGTGTGCAACCAGTTCAGTCAGCTGACCCCATGATGAATGGGAGGTTCTTTGGCTCAAGTGATTAAATGACTGGAGTCATTTAAAAAGCATCAATGATTTCTACCAGTCTCATATCTTCAGCTCATCTCTGTTGGTATGATAAGTAACCTTCTTGAGAGACCATGAAGAAAGGGGAAAGACCCTGAGGCTTTTTTTTTCCCTTCTGAGGCCATTTGGTCTTCAAGAAATAGGAGTTGATCCTTGGCCTTTTTGTTTTCCCTCATAAGTAGGAAATGGAGTTTCCTATCTTAGGTGTTTTGACAGCTGAGAGAGATAGAGCCATGGGATCCTGGGAGTTGGAATCAAGGGCAGGTTTGTGGCTAGCACAGCACTGATGCCCCAAGCAACAAGCTTCATTATTTTATCTTCTGAAGGACATTTGGGATCCCCAGGATGTTGGAGGCAGCCAAGGGAGGGAGGACAATAGCAGGAACTTGCCTGTAGCAGCATAAAAAAAGTAGCAGTTGCTGCAGACCACAAGTGGAGCATCTAAGTAGGAGAACCAAAGTTTCTATAAAGTGGCTCTGAAGTCCTCACTCCAATTTTCACTTCCAATTTTAGCTTTTAGGTTCAACGCTGCAAATAGCATTCCCCCATCACATGGTGGTTTCTCTTTAGACTATGACTTCTAACCTTTTCTTTCCTACCACAAAAACAACTAGTCGTATCCACAAAAGGGGTAGAGGGCCAGCACAATAGGTGGCAGGCAACCATGGAACTACTGCTCCTATTAATGTGGTGTGAAACCCAGAATTGGGAATCACTGCTTTTACAAATGAGATGAACCTCTTGGTTACCTGCCTGAAGTGAAAGCATAAATCCCTGGCCTCAGTATTTGGTTTTCTTTCAGCTCAAAGAGGTGGTATGGCACAGTGAATAGAGAGCTGGGGCTGGGAGTCAGTAAGACCTGAGTTCAAATCCTGCTTCACATACTAGCTGTGATCATGGGCAAGACGGTTCCCTGTCAGTGCCCTAGGCAATTCTCTTAAGACTTTAAATTTCAGACAGCTGACCTGCATTGGCTTCCTTATTTGGGAGGAGTCATTGGTTCAGCACTTGTCACTTCACAGGTAGCAAAAACTAAAATTAGGCAGTTGCTCAAAAATATGACCATTTCAGGGGCCAATTTCATTTATTAGCCCCATGTGGTTCAGCTAAAGGTTTTGGATTTTTTGTTTGTTTTGAGAGATGGACTCTGCCCAAGTCCTGTCAGGCAAATTTATGTTAGGTTCTGGGATAATGTATTTGCCTAATTTGAATTATCATCTCATCCACACTAAGCTTTCTGCATAAGGTGCTAAATCTTGCTAACTAGAAAACTACAGCTGCTCAAGTGTATCTGTTGTGTTTCACAGCTCAAACTAACAAAACTGTTACAGCTGCTAGCTGTTTTTGACTCTCTCAAGAACAACAACAGGAACTAACCTATCTATAGGTATAAATATTGCTTGAGTTTCCCCTTTGATCTTTTAAGGAAAAGGTGGCATTTTTCAGAGAGAGTGAGGTGGCCCTTAGGAGAAATTGCTGAGTTTACTTTTTCCAAAATTTTAATTTAAACTGTTGAACTCACCTGATTTTAATCTAAGTTCAGTGTCCATTGCTCTTAAATCCTATAGTAGAAAGAAGTATGTAAATACTTACACACGTAAGGTTATTAGCAGGTAATAATAATAATAATCATGATAGCATTTTTACAGCACTTTAAAAACGTTTTATTGATGTTTTTCTGTTTCTTACATCACTAGTTATCCCAAGTATCTCTTCCCTTTCCCCTCCTAGAGAGCTATCTCATATGACAAAAACTACTTTTAAGAAGAAAAAAAAATCTGCATAACTGATCAGTACATTGAAAAAGTCTGAAAACATGAACACTACCCCTACAAATGGGGAGGTTGGGAGTGATCTCTTCATTTAAGTTCTGTTTGATCTTGATAATTTTGTTACCTTTACTTTTGGTTTTTTAGTGCAGTTCTTTCCATTTGCATTGTTGTTAAAGCATACATTGTTTTCCTGGCCCACTTATTTCATTCTGCATCAGCTCCTATAGATCTTTCTGTGGTTCTCTGTATTTCTCACAAATACCATTTCTTACACCATAGGAACATTCCATTGCAGTCATGTACCACAATTAGTTTTGCCATTCTTAAGAGACGGACATCTACTTTGTTTCCAGTTTGTTGCTATCACAAAAAGTTCTTTTTGGGGTATAAGCCCAGTAATGGAGTCTTTGGTTCAAAGGGATGGACATTTTAGTCATTTTATTTGCATAATTCCAAACTGCTTGTCAAACTGGTACGTACCATTTCACAGTTTCACCAATAATGTACTGGGTGTGAGGTAAAAATAAAGGGTTGTTTTGATTTGCATTTCTCTCATCACTAGTAATTTGGAGCATTTTTTCCATGTGGTTGTGAATACATTGAAGCTCTTTTGAGAACTGTTCATTTCTTTTGACTACTGGGAAATGACTTATATAACATTTTAAGATTTGCAATGCACTTTACAAATATTATTTCATTTTGTCTTCACAATGACCCCGGGAGGAAGGTGCCATTATTTATTTATTTATTCATTCATTTTTGAGGCAATCAGGGTTAAGTGACTTGCCCAGGATCACACAGCTAGTAAACATCAAGTGTCTGAGGATGGATTTGAACTTGGGTCCTCCTGACTCCAGGGTAGTGCTATCATCTACTTACATTTTACAGATGAGGAAACTGAGTCAGAGGTTAAATGACTTGTCCAGGGTCACATGAGTAGTAAGGGTCTGAGGCAGGTTTGAACCTAGCTCTTCCTGAGGATAAGTCTAGTTCTCTATCCACTGCACCACCCAGCTTCGTCACATATAAACTCATTATGACTAAGTATTTAGGCAATTCTCTAGAGATCTATAGCTAATTTCAATAGTAACATCTTTCAGTTTGGCATTTATGACTCTTATAGGTCCTACTAAAATGAGAGAAATCAGCTTAAATAAACAAGTCACTGTGTGTGGTTATTAAGGCTTTCCAAGTATGAAAAAGGATGAGTATTAAGGTGATGTGGATCAAAGCTGGACTTTAACTAACAAACATTTTAAATTCCTACTATGTATGAGGCACAATGTTAGGCCCTGGGAATACAAAGATGAAAAACAGCACAGTTCCTGCCTCAAAGAGCTCACAAAGTAATAAGATGCTGACAAATAAGCATAGGGGTAGCTAGGTGGTGAAGTGGATAGAGTACCAAGCCTGGAGTCAGGAGAACCTGAGTTTAAATAGACTTCAGTCACTTACTAGCTCTATGACCCTAAGGAAGTCACTAAAACCTGACTGCCTCAAAATAAGCATAATAAAAGGTAACGTGAGATAAAGACAAAGTAGAAATTAAGACAAAATGCTAGGAGACTATTTGAAGAGGGAAAGATTTCTTTCAGTGAAAAGTATGAGGGAAGGCAATGGAGTGTTGTATTTTGACTCAGAGGACCTGGGTTTGAATCCTGGCTCTGTCAATCACCACCTATGTGAACTTACAGAAATCACTCAACCCCTCATGGCTTCAATCTCCTTGAACTAGTTGACCTCTAAGTGTTTTCTGCTTTTTAAGCCTATGATCTTCAAGGAAGTAGCAAACAAGGCCATTAATGAAAGCAAGGAATTTCATAGAGAACTGGGAAGGAAATAGGAAGAGAATTTGTATGAATGCTGGAGTACAAACAGAAAATAGTGATCCCATTTGGCTGGAGTATTGATTGTATGTAATGAAATAATGTGAATAAAGCCGGAAAGATAGGTTAGAGTCAGACTTTGGTGGAAAGTGTCCTAGATTTAGAGTCAGAAAACTGGTTTAAATCCTAGCTCAGGCTCTTAACAGTTGTGAAGGGAACAAGTTAATTAACTCTCAGTGTTGTCACTTTTCTTTAAAGTTGATGTGGTAATACTTATATTATCTACCTTACAGAATTATTGTCATGTCCTTAAAGTTCTACATAAATTATATATAAAACAAATAATAACTGACATTTATGTAATATTTTGAAGTTTTCAAATAAGTTTATCCAGGGAATCTCCAAAGTCTTGGTGTAGCTTTAAGCAATTGGTTTTAAAATTTTCAAAATAATTTTATCCAGAGTATCTCAAGTCCTTAGTAGCTTAAAACTGCACTAAGACTAGTGGGACATGCTGCATTTATTCAGTCTTGTTTGCACCCTACACCTGTATTCAGTGGGAGTAATTCAAGGTTGGGGTTTGGCTAGGCATGATCCTTCGACCATTACCATTAGATTGTAAGCTCCTTGAGGGCAGGGACTATCTTTTGCCTATTTTTGTATCCCTAGCACTCAATACAGTGCCTGGCACATAGTAGATGCTTAATAAACATTTGCTGACAAATGGCTAGGGCACAATGGATTTAAGTACTGAAGGAAGTGGAGACAGGTTAGAAAGGAGAGTGTAGCCAGTATAGGAGTTAGAGCCTAGGAAAGAAGTGAGGGATGGAGGGATTAAAGGTCATGGTGAGGACAAAGAATAATGTTATAGGTTGTGTAGTATAAGGAAAGAATGATAAAGATTATGATCACATAAATGAATTTCAGAGTTCACGAACATGGAAGAACACTTGTGATAGCAAGTTCAAGGGTATGACCATCTCTGTACATAGCCGACATGGCATGATGGTGGGAAATGAGTAATTCAAAGAATCAGAAGTTAGGTTGTTTAAGGTAGTATGTATGTTTAAATACTATAGTATGCAGGTGGGAGTTGGGGTGGAAAGAATGAACCATGTTATGAACTCAATGAGAAAGGAAGAATGTTCTGGGAGTCAGTAGGTAACAGCAATCAGAATACTGACTGGATCATAAATATGGATTAAATGAATCTCACAGGAGAAGCTGTTGAGGGGTGGTGGTAGAAGGAGTCTATAAATGGCAACATGGAACAGAGTCTTCCACAACCAGTTCAGGGATATTGAGTGAAATACAACCAATATTGGAGCCAGAAGTCCAAGAGCAGGAGTCTAATGCTGGGAGAGGGTTCTGAATATCAGCTTCTTTTGACCCAGCCCAGGGAGACTACGACTTATCCATTGGCCATGGGTAGTCTACAACTGGATGCTTTGTAGAACCTCCTTTTAGCCCATTCTTGCTAGGAAGAAGTACAAAAGAGAGGTTTTCTCACCCCCAGCCCCAGTGTTAGGAAGGAAATGCTTGTATTTCTGCCAGTTATTTCACATTTTGTACATTGTACCGTAGAAATATTACATATTTTTTTGCCAATTTTATATCTTGCCAATATTTTCTCAGTAAATATCCCTTTGTAAATGCTAATTGATGTGAATTGGTTAAATGATATTGGGGCACTAATCATTAGTGATTGATATTAGGGGAGAATATATTAGAATGGAAGCTTGAACTGATAGCATTAGGGAAACTTCTTAGTATTGTTTCCTAAAACCCTGGGAGAAATGCCTTTTTTTCTAAGACACAATCTGCTAGTATGACTATTTGGACACTAAGTTTAGAACATAGCTACATGCACAACAAAATGTAAACTCTTTGGGAGTTGTACTTTTTGACTTTGTATTTCCAGGGCCCAGCATAGTTCCTGTGCTGCTAGAGGTCAGCCGTGTTGATTGACAGATATGCAGACTTGAGGTCATTTGGGTGGCTAAAGCACCAGCCCTGGAGTTGGGAGGACCTGAGTTCAAATGCGACCTTAGACACTTATTAGCTGTGTGACCTTAGAAAAGTCATTTAATGTCAACTACCTACCCCTGCCCTGCCCTCCCAAAAAAGCCATCTGGGTAGATTACTGAATCTTTGAAAGCTGAAGAGATCACTGAGTAGTCATTCAATGATACTCCACAGCCAACTAAATAAGGTATACCTAACCCTGGCTTTCAAAGTCAATCAACATTTATCAAGCACCTAAGGGCCTGGGGATATAACAGCCAAGATAGTCTTTGCCCTCAAGAAGCTCACAACAGAAAATACACAAAGCAAACTAAATACAGGATGATTAGGAAATAATTAAGAGGGAAAGCACTGGAATTAAAAAGGGTTAGGGAATGCTTCCTGAAAGAGGTAGGATTTTAGGTGGGACTTAAAGGAAGCCAAGGAGGTCAACAGGTAAAAGGGAGGAGGGAAGTGTTCCAGGCATGATTCTCTTGGCTGAAGGTAATCTTTCTTCCTCTTAATTTTACACACAAACACATATTTATATATTTATATACACATATATAAGTATATGTATGTATTTCTTTCTGTATCTCTGGGGCCTAGCATGGTCCTTAGTATAGTACTTAATTAAATGCTTGTTAATTGATTGACTACTGTGTTTTATTTCTAGGCATCACAATGTAAGAAAAATGTTGCTCTATGAAGAGTATCCAGTAGAGAGCAATCAGGAGTCAAAAGACCTAGGAATGTTTAGCAGGGAGAGAAGACTCAGGGGAAATATCATAGTTAAGTCCAAGTATTTAATGGGCTGTAATGTGGAAAGGAGATTCAACTTGTTCTGTTTATCCCCAAAGGGCAGAATCAGAAGCAATAAGAAGATGAAAAAAGGAAATTTTAGGCTTGATGAGGAAACTGAGCTACAGGGAGGCTAAGTAACTTGCCCAAAGTCCCCAGAATATGTCAGAAGCAGGACTTGATTCCTCTTCCTCTGATTTCAGAGCCAGGGCACTTTTCACAGTACTACCAATATCAACAGGCTTTGGTTATATAAAACAAAGATGTGGATTTTGAAGTGGTCAGGCTAACAAAATTAAAACAGAGCTCCTAGGAGGCAGACAGGGCCATATAATTAAATAGAAACCCAAAGGGGCAGTAAAAAGACAAAAAAAAGGAAATTTACACGATAATTTTGTTGTACATTTGAAAGGAATAGCAAGTTGTAGTAGTAGATTTGCAATTCCATGTACAATCATCTTTTTTTTTTATTGTACTATGTTATGAAAATGCTTTATTCCACAAATTAAAAAAAAAGAAAAGAAACCCAAAGGAACAGAAACATACAACACGTAGAAAAAGAGGCTAAAATACTGAAAGACCTTCATGTTCACATTACCAGAAGATGAAATGTAGCTCTTTGTTCCTTTGGTACCAAATTCAACTGTATTTTATCTGTTGGGCTAACTTTTTTAGATTTGGAATCTACAAGAGGTTTAGTGAGAGATGCTGTAGAGAGTATATTTCAGTCATCAATAAACATTACGAGCCTGCTGTGTGTTAGGAACTGTGCTAAATAAACACTGGGGATACAAATGTGAGAAAGGGCCATCCACATCCCCTGGAAGTTTACAATTTAATGGGGGAAGACCACACACAAAAGGACGATAAAAAGGGACTGGGGGGATGTACCTGTCAAGGAGTTAAGATGGAGAAGTCCAAAGGAGCATAGCGTGTAGCTGAGTGAGACAAGGAATGACTGGCCTGGCAACCCTCCTTCAATGGAAGTTTTGGGAGCTCCTTCCCCTTCAATCAGAAGAGCCCCAGGGCAATACTGATGACGGGTGAGTTCCAGGATTGGAACAAATATTTATTAAGTGTCTACTCTATCCAAAGGGCTACAAAGAATGAAACTCTCTACTAGAAAGTTTACATTGGAATAGGGGGAGACAAGAAGTACACATGTAACTACTCAGACTTTACTTTCCTCATCTATATACATAAGTACAAAGTAGCTAACTACAAGTCTGTTGTAAAGGAGGGCACTAGCAGTTTGTGGGGGGGGGGGGGAATTGGGAACGGCTACAAATATGAGGTTTTTGAACTTTGTCTTGAAGGATTCTATGAGGTAGAAGAGAGGTGGGAATGGATTCCAGGCATAGAGTTGGTCAGTACAAAGGAATGCTGATGAGAGATGTACTGTCACGTAAAAAGAACAGAGGACTGTTATTAATAATAGCAATTTACTTCTTACCTCTGTGCCTTTGCATTGACCATCCCCATTCCTGGACCTTACTCCCTTCTCACTTCTGGCTCCGAGTCCCAAGGCCCCTTTAAGACTCAGTTTGAGTACAACCTTTACACAAGGCCTTTCCTAAATCCCACCGGTGCTTGGGACCTTTCCCTCAAATCACCGTATCCATTTTTTACATATTTGTACATGTCTCCCCCAATAGAATGTGGGGATAGACATATTTAATTTAATAGGCATATTGGGAGGAGCTCTTGCACTGAAGCTGAGTTCAAATCCTGCTTGTCACTTAATACCTTTGTGACCTTAGGCCTTGAAAGCAACAGACTTGGGATCAGAAGACCTGGGTTCAAATGTCTCCCCAGAAACTAGACGTATGATCTTCAGCAAATCATTCCACTTCTCCAAACCTGAGGGAGTTGGACTAGATGGCTCTGAGGTCCCTTTCTGTCCTAGATCTATGATCTTTGAGGATAACTTTAACTTTGTTTGCTTAGCATTTATCAAAGTGCTTGGCACACAGTAGGTGCCTAATAAATGCTTATATTCTCTTTATCTTTAATAAAAAGTGATAAAAATGCTTTTTCTTTCATATTACCTGATGATATATTTTGCCACAGACTTCTTTCATAGAACTTCACCCTCTCCCAATACTATCCCATTTAATTCCTGATTAGCACCCAACCTGTTACTGCTAGCATATTTCACCTGTATATTACATGCTCATCAAAGCCTGAGAACATAAACATATAAATTGTAGTCCTGCCATTTGACTTGGTCAATTTTTGAACTTTTAGCAGTTGACATTTAGTTTATTTCAGAAAAATCTTTCACGGATTTAAAAAAAAATGTTTCCAGGAAAGCAGCCACACCCAGGTTGCAAAATTGTGGTTTGTTACTCACTGTTTCATTTTCTTTAAAACATTTTCATTCAATTGTTAATTTAATCCTTTTCATTGTTTCCTATGAGCACTGAATTGTCCTTACACAAACATTATTTTTAGTTCTGAACCTTTATGTCTTCTTGCCCCTTCAGATTTTTAAATGAAAAAAATGTCTCTTAGCACTCTTTCAAAAACCATGTTACAAAAAAGTGAATGTTAATAAGCAAACCTGCTAAGTCTCTTATTAGCTATAAGATCTCAAACAGTGGGGGAAAAATCCAACACTCATAAGTAAAATTACAATTTACTTCTTTTTGTGTATGTCAATTCAAAAAAAGGTAAACAAGAACTTGATAAGTCCATATTGCATAAATTTTATAAAAAGAGAAATAAGCAGATTTAGGAATAGAAAGTAAATTACTTGAGGACAGTGGTGACTGGGTCTGTTTGTTATTTTGATACCACCAGCACTGACTTACATGCTTTAATGATTAGGGTTAGCAAGTAAAGCTCTTTATAACCTGGCCTCTTTTTGCCTTTCCAGTCTTCTTAAACTTTACTCCTTTTCCGAGAACACTATGATCCTGTTATATTGGCCTATAAGCAGTCCCTCAAATAGGACATCCTCCCTCAGTGCATTTCCAAGATCTGCCCATGCCAAGACTGAGTTCAAATTCCAACTTTTGCAGACAGCCTTTCTTGGTTCTTCAGTCTATTAGGGCTTTCATTTCCCAGGCTACCTTCCATGCACTCTGGATATTATCCTGTATGTAGCTAATTATTTACATGTAGTCTCTTCCTTTAGAAGGTGCACACTGAAGTCAGAGCCTTTTTGTCATTCTATGTACTCTCAAGTGCTTAGCACAATATCTGCAACAAAGTAAGCTCTTAATAAATGCTCACTTACTGACAAAGGTGCCTGGGTTGTAAAACATTGGGAGGATGGATGAAATGGGATACAATTTTCATAAATGTGCATATTTTAATGCCAGGCAGCTACGTGGCATAGTTGATAAGAGTGTTGGGCCTGGAGTCAGGAAGACTCATCTTCCTGAGTTCCAATCCAGCCTCAGACACTTACTGTGTGACCCCGTGCAAGCCCCTTAACCCTGTCTGCCTCAATTCCTCATTAGTAAAATGATTTGGAGGAGGAAATAGCAAACCACTCCAGTATCTTTGCCAAGAAAATCTCAAATGGGGTCACAGAGTCCTACAGGACTGAACAACAAATTTTAATGCCAGAAAATTCAGATTTCTATGACAAGTATTTAAATCAAGTATGTTGTGTTACCCAGAAAGGTCAAAGCCTCTAGTCCAAAGGACAAAGGGAGCCAACTTTCAAATGTTGTACTCCTTCATCAATGTTCAAATCTTGCCTAGGGTATGCAAACAGCTTATGGAACCCTACAGCCAGAAAACAAAAATCAGTTGAGAAGCCAACTTTTCACTTTCCCAAATGGGACAGCAGGCTGCAAATACAAATTAACTTAATTGTTTTACTTTGTGAATTAAAATATTCAAGCCTGGTGAGAAAACTCAACCAATTCAGACTGGCAATGGTTAATCAATTTATAAGTAGTCTAACTAGGTGTTCAGTGTTAAGGTGTTATGCCCAGGGTCACACACACAGCCAGTAGGTTATGAGTTAGTATAGAGTTATTGAACCCTAGAGGTTAAATGACTTGCCCAGGGTCACACAGCCAGCTTGTCAGTCTGTGCTTGAACTAGGTCATCTTGACCTTAATGAATTTTCTAACCACTAAGTGAAGCAGAGATCAGCACCTTGGACCTCAAGCCCTCTTTCCAAGACCACCTAACTGGTCTTGGAAAAATAAGGATAAGAGCCTCAAAGGTAAATTTGTGGCGTCTACGGGATAAAGAAAGGCTGCTTTTTTTGCATCCGTGAGGCCGAGATGAACCCTCTCAGCCCAGATTTCTTAGTGTCTTAGCATGTTAAGAGCCAATCCTGGATGCTCAGTCTTGTAAAATGCGGTCATGATGCAAATACTTTTATTTTGCCCCCTGGCTCCGACCCACACTAGCTAGTTATAACTATGGTCTCTTTAAGTAAAACCCCTAGGTTGTTCAGAGTAACACGACACCCCTTCTCCCTGCCCCCCAGGCCTCCCAGAATTCTACTAGGCACTGTTGGCCAGCTTATTAAGCTGATGTGCATGTTTTCAATCCCCCATTTCTCTTCCAACCACACAGGACATGGGGGCATAGCCGGATCCCGGGTTCCATCAAAGGCAAATAAAGGTCAGAGAAGCTCCGCTGGTCGTTTGTTTTTTTTCAACTAATAGAAAAATAAAAACAGGCGGGAAGGGACCAGGAACTGCCTGCGCTCGGGACAAGCGTCCACATGGACAAATAGCCACCTCCCCCTCATGGCACGCAGGCGCAGTACCAGCCGGGACTCGCATTTATCACAAGCAGATCATTCCGCCGGTTTCTTTGTGTAGCAGAAAACCTTGAAATGGCATAATTTCCTTTCCTCGGTTAAATATCAGAACCACCATCCTCTCTCTCTCCCGCGGGGTCAGGGGTTAGAGTACGGGAAAGGCAGCTCGAGCCGGGAGGGCAGCAAAAAGAAAAAGGGGGGAGGGGGAAGGTTAGGTTGAGCTCGGCGAGGGCAGGGAGAAGGGAGGGATGCTGGGAGCTCGACTCACTCGCACACCATGTGTCCCTCCGCGAGAAGCACGGGGGACTTTTCGGTGGGGATTTTGGGCGCCGACCAGACGCGGCATTTTCGGAAAATAGCGCCCGGTGGTTCTGAAGCGCTTTGTTGATAGCGGGGCCGCTTCAATCCGGCCGGGTACCAGGTGCCTCGGGTCCCCGCAACATCTCCCGCTGCTCCCCCGCCGCCGCTCCCGAAGCTTTTCCAGGTCAGTGCGGGTCTATGCAGGGCCCTGTTACCACCGGATGTGGAAGTTGATCTCTTCGCTGGTAAAAAATAATTCCACTTCCCCCGGAACCCAGATCATCCCCGCGATTTCCTGTTTATTGCATTAAGGCGCCGGGTTTCCGGGGCTCCTGGCCCCGCTTATTCCGCGGGGGTCGGTGGGGGGCGGGGGGCTGTCGAGGCTGCCCGCCCGCGCCGCCGTGCTTTGTCCGCCCGGCACCCTGCTTCTGGGGAGGGGCTGGCAGACATGGTGGCGGCCGCCGCCCCCTCCCCGGCTCCGGCGGGACCCATTCCTCTCTCTCTCCTCCTGCCTCCCTTCTCTCCCCGTCCGGGCGGCCGGTTCCGAGCCCGGCGCCCCCGCCGTGGGAATGAGGGCGGCGGGGGTTCGGCGGGCGCGGGCGCGGCCTCGGCCCCGCGGGGCCTCTTTGTTTGCGTCCCCCCTCCACCTCCCTTCCCCTCCCCCCCTTCCGTGCGGGGAGGCCCGACTGACAGCTCCCCCGCTGGGGCCCCGGACTCAGGAGGCCCCCTCCGTTACCCCCGGAGCGCCGATCCCCCGGGGGACGGGGGAGGGGAGCCTGAAGCCAAGCTGGGACAGGGTCGGTGGCACCGCGAGCCCCGAGCGGCTACCTCGGAGGGCTTGGGCTGTCGGGGGACGCAGCCCGGCCATCGGGCAGCCGCCGAGGGAGCCGCGCGGGGCGAGGAGAAGGAATTTGGGGGGGGTGTTTACTAGACTCCCGCGATCAGGGCAGAGAGATAATCCTTGTCGGTTTAACCTGTTATTACGGAAGCATTTTTATGATTAAAAATGAGGATGAGGATGAGGACGAGTGGGTCAGGCCGGGAAGTGAATTCGGAAAAAGTGAAGAAGCTGGAGGCTTCAGGAGGACTGGCTACCCCCTTTATCCCCCCCTTAAAACTTGCTCTCGCTCCACTCACGCAGGCTTCAAAGCTGATTGGACTGTGCCGGAGCACATCAGGGCGGAGGAGGGGCGGGTGGCCCCGCTGCTGGGGGCGGAGGGAGTGGGAGCCTGCTAATCTCTAAGTTTTAGACTTGGGCTCTGATTTGCTGTCTCCTCGCTGGCAAGTCACTAACTCTCTGTGACTTAATTTTTTTCCCCTTCTCCTGGAAAATGGCGCAGTAACTGTCAGTTTTTTGTAGAGGAGTTTGGGATCAAAGAATGAAAGATGCCGTACTGTGACTTTTCTTCACATATTTTAAGGGAGTTTTGAGCACTGCGGTTGAATTATTTTTTTCTGCAGTTCTAAAGTTTATTTGCCCCTTAATAGACATTTGAAGGAGACTTTAAGTTTTTAAAATCATTTTAGTCATTGCCCTTCTGCGTATATCTGTCTATGACGAAAAAGTTAGGCGCTTCTATTTTCAGTCCTTTCATTTAAATTAAAGGAAAAATTATTCTTTTCTGCTATCTTCTTCAGCTTGTGTTTCCTGTCCTCTGTTCTGGCTATGCAAATGTCGGTTGACCTTCACAATATACCTTGTTCCATATCTGGTGTAAGACCCATTTCAAAAAGATGAATAAGAAAACAGATTGAAATACTGTTCTTGAACTACAAGAGTTGTCTCATTAAAGCTAAGGGTTAAGTGCATAAGTATTTAAACTTTATGAGTAATGCTGCTTAACATAATTTGTGCCCAGAGACCCAAGGTAGGGTTTTCAAATGAATTGACAGTAATTGGGTGGAAGATTACCTTTGAATAACTTGTGCAAGGTTTCCATTGTAGATGTATGGTGAAAATGTGCATAAACAGAATTTTTCTAAGTGGAATGCTTATCTGTATACCACAGAAGTTTCATGTTTAAAGGAATCTTGGTAACTTAAAACTTTTTTGAAGCAGAAAATCCTTTTGTAAATGCAAATGATTACATATTAATTTCAGAAGTATGGTGGTACCTACACTGCATGCATACTGTATTTAATTAAATACTGTTCCCAGTTCTGTAGGATTTATCAGAATTGTGGGCGATCTATTTTTCAAGAATATAGAAGGTATTTTGTGTTAGGTCAGTTGGCTAGTCAATCTTAAGTTGTTTGATCTTCACACACTAAAATGATTTGTGAGAGAATATGGTCAGAAGGTTTTATTTGCTTCCCTAAATTCTCGTAATCTGTTAAAGCTGCAACAATTTCTCTAAACCTTTCTTGTACTTGTGTATCTGGATTGCTTAAACAAGTTATGTAAAAGAGATCTTTTAGATATTTTAATGTTTATCTTATGTTGATATAGGACGCAATGATGTGCATAGATGGGGACCACTAATCCATGCTACTTCTGTTAGGATAGTGACTAGTGCAAGGCAAAACCCATAGTTGGTATTTTATTCTCTTGCAGTAAGAGGGACTTAGTGGGAGTTAACTGAGGCCCCCAGAGGGTTCCCAAGGCAACTTCCAAATGCTCTATCATCCCCACAACCCTCCATCCTATGGTGAAAACTTTAGTCTTAATGCAGTAAACAGGATATGGAAAGTAGGGGCAGGATGATGTGAGTTGGAAGTAGCAGGAGGGAAAATAGCACTATTCTGTGCCCCACCGTATATATTGAAGTGTCTCTACCCTTTGAAATTAGGCTCTTAGTAACCTCTGGTTTTCTTTGGAGTTAAGTAGAATAAACAGCACATTGAACTATAGTATTTGTGATACTAGACTTTCAGAATTTTGATCATCTTTGAGGTGGTAACTAAATTAGTTCTCTATTCTGTGAATTCTAATCCAGGCTCTGAAGTTCTGTACTATTCTATTTAACCCAGCAAGCATTTATTAAGCATCTTGGAGATAAGTTGATAGGGTTACAAAACAAAAAAAGATCACACTCTTGAGTCTTCTAAACATTTGGCCTTTCCTCTTTTAGGAATTACATAAAATAGTGCCAGGCAAATTCTTTTTTTAATATTTTATTTTTCTCAATTACATATAAAAAGAATTTTTAATCTTAATTTTCCCAGAATTTCGAGTTCCAAATTCCCTCTCTCCCTCTGCTCCCCCCTCCTTGAGAAGACAAGCAGTTTGATATAGGTTATACTTGTGTAGTCATGCAAAACATTTCCCTATTAGTCATGTTGTGAAAGAAAACAGACTAAAAAAAACCCCAAGAAAAACAAAGTTTAAAAAGTATGCTTCAATCTGCATTCAGACTCCAGTTGTTTCTCTGCAGGTAGATAGCAATTTTTTTCATAAGTCTTTTGGAATAATTGTCTTGGATCATTGTATTGCTGAGAATGGCTAAGTCATTCACAGTTGGTCTCCTTACAGTATTGCTTTTATTGTATGCAATTTTCTCCTGGTTCTTCTCACTTCACTTTTCATAAGTTCATACAAATTTTCCTAGGTTTCTCTGAAATCTTGTCTGCTCATCATTTCTTATAGTACGGTAGTATTCTCTTACATTCATGTGCCACAACTTGTTCAGGCATTCCCCAATTGATGGGCATCCCTTCAATTTCAATTCCTTGCCACTTTGGAAAGAAGTCCTATAAATATTTTTGTATATATCGGTCCTTTTCCTATTTCTTTGATCTCTTTGGGATACAGATCTAGTAATAGTATTGCTGGGTCAAAGGGTATGCACAGTTTTATACTGCAAGGCAAATTCTTAATATGTTTGAGGTACAAAATTTCATTTTGGTTGGCCTGAATTTATTTTAAAGCCTGGTGTCTGGTTGTGTGTGGAATCTAGTTAATATCTATTTGATTTACCTTGAAATGTACAATGGATCTCACTTCTACAAGAAAAAATGGTTTTGCCCATGAATAAAAAGTGGTTTAATCTAAACCTAGTCTAGTCTAAAACATGAACAGTTTGTTTTTTAAAGGTAACTTTAAATATCTAAAAGTAATTCAATGGGTAGGAAGATATTTCTAGCCATTATTTACAATATGAAGTGCCATGAGGACTATGAAAGAGGTGTGATGTGGTCATGAAGCAATAAGGTAGGGATAAAAGATGAACGGTCTAAGTATTATACTTGATACCCAAAAAATGTTTAAAAAAAAAAGACCTAGAAAAGAAGGCTTGGATCTATGGGAAAAGATAGGTAAGAATTGCACTGTGTTGAGAAGGTATGGATGTATGGGTTACTTTGTTCACTTATGAAGAAAATACAAATGAGATGACAGATGCATTGAAAAACTATGAGTTCTTAGCTCCGAACCCCTTTAAATCAGTTTCACAGTTATAGCACGATTCCCTCTCATTAGTTCCAACACACTTTTTTTAAAAAGACACCGGCAGAGTTTAGTTTCATCACCCTTCAATCCATAGAGCTTTCTAAGGCCCTCTGCAGAAATCTTGTATTTACGGGGCTTTGCAAAGGGAGAAGAGGGAACAGGAATAGGGAGTAAGGAAGCCAGAAAAGGGATAACAAGTTGTGAGTGATACCTATGCTTCTTAAAATGGGGAAATTTCTTCCAATGTGGTTAGAGCCCTGAGTATTGTAGTTAACACTGTATTTGTTAAATTTTTAAAAGTTGTTATTAATTTCATATTATCATACTCTTTAGATTTTAAATTTTTAAAGGAAAACTACATATTTACCTATAGTGCTAAGCACCTGAAAAAGTGAGTATTAATAAATATTGTTGATAAAACTTAGTCCATTCACATAATAATTTGGTAATGTGTGGGCCAGAATTGTACATTTATTTAGGCTCACTGGCTATTAGCTTTGAGAAAGTTTCTTGTCTTCCTAGAATTACAGAATTACAGGATTTTAGTGCTAGAAATAACCTTGGGAAACTCTAATTCATCCATTTAAATGAAGAAATTGAAGCTCAGACAGATGGGGTTCAGTTCAAGTATTTATTAAGCAGCCGCTATGTTTAAGGTACTGTTGGAAGCCATTGGGGACACCAGACAAAAGTAACTGCCCTCTAGGAGCCTTCATTCTGCTGTCTTATTTCACACAGCATATTAGCATATGCTAGAGGACTAGAGTTTAGATCTTGTAATTCCCAGCTTGATGGAT